ATATAAGCGTGTGTATATATAACATCTTTGTGTGATTATATACAAAATCTGTGTGGATACACATACAGAGTCAATATTACTGCAACAGCCATTATCTACTTTTAAGAACTTACACACACATACATATATCCACATGTATACACACACATTTAAGAGACTATGTTTGAAGATATCTAAGTCTCAACAATCAGCAGAAACAAAACCTAATTTCGGAGTTTACACTCTCATTGACTACAGATAGAACTGTAGCCATGGTGCTAGGACTGTCACCAACAATATGCACCTACAGCCTTTTAGCTGGAAGCATAGCTTCCATTAAGTGACAAAAACTGGACTGTCAGTCACTGAAGGATAGTATGTTACCTGAAAATTTGTTTCCTTCCAACCAGGTTTCTTGGCCAGCATTCTTACTAGAGCTTGGCAAGGCATTTCGCTTCTCTCCATAAGCTCAACAGCCTAAAGGATAAACATTATGTTAGCCAGTGGGTCACAAAGGATACAAAATTCAAACAGAAATTCTCAACTGTCCACTAAGTATTTTCTTAACACTGAATTACATTGCAGAAATGCTTAGCACAAGAACTTACCTGAAGAACCTTACTACAAGAGCCACTTTTACATGGAGCCCATTTACAGATACCAAGCCAACATGTAAGCTACAGCATTCACATCACTATACTTTGTATGTTCTTTAACAAATGTCCTTAACAACCACTCATGCCCATTCCAGCCCTGAGAATTTAACACTTAAAAAAAAATAAAAAATGAAGGCAGCTTTTTAGGGAGTGGGCTGTTTGGGGTTTGTTTTCAGTTAAGATTAAGTATATTGTGCACCTTTCACATTGGAATGCTGAATCCACAGCAGACATTAAGCCTGAATGTAATCTAAATTACTGGATTTTTAGCTTGTTGTTAGGCTTATTCATTCAACTGAAATGGCACCATCTTTACATTTGAGTAAAGCTGGCTTCTGCAGCTGCATTTCAGTGCAGCCAGTCACCATTTCCACACTGAGGTTAGCTGCTTTTTCCACTAAAATATCACAACTCAGTCACAACTGTAATGGAGGAGTGGTATGCACTATTTGTACATCTACAGCTGAAGCCTTTTAGAATGTGAATTCTCAAAGGTCTTCTGATTGATAGCATGGGAAGAAAGCAAAGCTTCACATTCGAGTGACAAGTTTTTGTTTGTGACTACTTAAAGCACTGTTTCACCAGCTGTGAAGGCTGCCAGTATTATGTAAGGCTCCAAACATGAACTATTGGCCAATTGAAATTTTTATGATAAATCACTCAATAGGACTTTTATTGCAATCAACTGCAAACAGCAGATTTGCAAAAGATTTTGCCTAGTCATTGCAAAACCTTTTGTTTAAACCTAGTTATCTTTGAGACCAAGCTTTAGAATTACTTGGAGTTTTTAAAATATCTCTATGTATCCTCAATCCAAATACAAGTATTTTTGACAGAAGCATAACTATCCACATCAGGCAATGACAGACTTACTCCACTACTGTTACAGAATAAGAGCCAATTTAAACCACATAAGTCACTTGGCTCTTGCAAGCATTGTTTAAACCACCTGAAGTGCTGACATACCAATACTACTAGTATGTCGTTCAATAGAGTTACCAGGCCTGAAGAGCTGAGTAATTTATTACTTGTTCTCTTTC